AGAGATGATGATTCCGAAGCCACCCTATCCAAGCCATATTATTCACATATAGAATCCCAACAGCAACAGTGTAGGGATGAGCACGAAATACTGTAATTAAATGCTGAATGGCGGTTCATGTAGGGAAAGAACATATCAATATTCGCATATTCATTCAAAAACATGAAAAATTCTTAATAGAGTACCCTCATTTTTTATTGAATTCTTAAAAAACAATATTTATAATGAATTTTAATAATTTTTTCGAAATTTTTTTAAGCTTTATTCAGACCGATTCACCCGATTCCCGATCCGGATCGTCGATTCGCCGATCCAAATCGGTTTTTTGAAAACCCGATCCAGGTCACCGATCCGTTTTTTAAACCATTGGATCAAACCATCAAAACGTTAAGCCGCCGTATCAGAGAGAGAGAGAGAGGGAGGGAGAATGAGGGTGGGCTCGGGCCAGCATTAGGTCCTGGCCTGACCTTGTTGCTATAGGGCTCGGTCCATTGCCAGCCCTGGTGACAAGTTACATCCATCGAAAGCGAAGACCAGGTGTCGGGCGGAAACGAGCAGAAGGAAATTTTATTTGAAGGACGAGAGAGAGGTGAAGAAGCCCTCACCCTTTCGAGTTTTGACAACAAAAAAAGAAGCGGAGAGGAGAACAAATGTTCGCTGCACCACCCCCTCTCTCTCTCTCTCTCTCTCTACAAGTCCAAATTAATTAATTAATTCCCCCTTTCTCTGTTACTTTCCACCTTCCATCAACAAATTCTTAGCCACAAGCGTTCTCTCTCTCTCTCTAGATAGTTGACTCCGAAAGTTACTCCCTTTCTCTCTCTAAAAAAAAACCCCCCGAAATTGAAATTTTGGTTGCGATCGCCCTGCCCCTCTTCTCTCTATTTGCACTCAACAAAAGAAATGAATCTCATTTATAGAGAGAGAGAAATTACAAGGTGAATGAGTGTGAGTCGGTTACAAGGTCTCTCCACGTTTACTCCACGGCCCTAAAACCTTTTGGAATAATAACCATCGATACAAATGAATACACGCACTCGCCCCCAGCATTATTTAGAGACAGAAACCCTGCCCGATTAACCCTAAATCATATCCGCACAAAATCGCATCTCCGTTTTCTCTCTCCATCTCTGACCCGATCAACTTCGCCGCGCTTTCTCTGGACCACGACTCGATATTCTTCTCATTCCGAGTCGCTTTCCATGTTACCCATTGCCTTCAACCCCCTCGGCCTCTGCAAACCGCCCACAATTAGCAGATCCCCAAAATCAAAATTTTGTTGACATATGATGTAAAACATCCAGAAGCGACCGGTTCTTAGAAGCGACCTAAACGAGGAATTTTTAGAGAGAGAATGAACAAAATACCCATATTTTAAGAGAGTGGAACCCATATGAAAGGGCGAGGAAAGGGACCATATTTTCAGAGAGACCAAGTTTTGAGAGAGAGAGAGGTAAAAAAAAAGGATCATTTTAGAGAGAGAAAACCCCAATATGAGAGAATAAAAAAGGATCAAAAGAGTGAACACACCCAATTTGAGAAAATAAGAGAGAGAGATAGATAGCAAACACCAATATGCAAGAGAGAGAATAAGAGTTTTTTCTTTGAATCTGGTCAAAAAACAAAAAAAAGATCAGACAGTAGTACCTTCTTGTTGCTCTTCTTCTCTCTGACTTCGTAACGCTCCTGAGACAACTCACACAGCCAAGCACCGGGGCTAACCAGCTGCACAAGAGAGATAAAATAATATCAAATGAAATCCCCTGAATTCCCAAGAAATTAGAGAGAGAAAGTGTGAAGAACAAGAAACAAGAGAGAGAAAGTTTGATGGCTTACAAGTAAGCTTTTCTGGATAAATTTGGCCCGCTTCTTTGGTCTCGGAGGGAGCTTACACCCCTTCATCGCCATGAAATCTTCTTCCTTCTCCTTACTGGACAAGGCGATTATGAACTTTGGCCAAACAAAGGCCTTTTCAGTAAACCCATCTCCATTTTCGGAGCAGATCTTTCCATTGTTGCCGCCAGCATCGGTTGAAGAAGCGAAGCCTGTTGCTGCTCCCCTGGTGGAGTATCGATCTTCTTTCTCTGGAGAAGAAGAGGAGGGAGCACCTCCTGCTCCAGCGCCACTAGTGCTCCTTCCCTTTGCTGCCATGTCTGAGCTTTCGAGGAGGACGAGACGTTCATCGCTCCGACGCCTGGCCATGGCTTCGGCCCCTGCCGATCTCAGAGTTGCAGTATCGGAGTTCCTGAAATTAGATATGAGAGAAAGATTTAGAGAGAGACCAAAATGGAAGATAAAGGAAAACTCAAGTTTAGAGAGGGAGAGCCCAAAATGGAAGGAAAAAAAAAAATCAAAGATTGGAGAGGAAGGAGATAATACCAAAACCAAAACGGATGAGCCAGAAGGGAAAAAAAAATAGTTTTCATAGAAATAGGAGACAGAACGAAAATCCAACCCTGTAAAGAAAGAGAAAGCCCAAACTGAACTAAAAGGAAAGCCAAGTTTAGAGAGCAGAGAGACCAGAAGTCCCGAATGAGCAAGAAAAGAACCAATTTTCTAATAAGAAAAAGAACCAAATTTTCAGAGAAAGAGAGACGCAACCCAAAATGGAATAACCAGAAAAATTCAACTTGAGAGAGAGAGATCAAAAACCCAAAACAATAGAGACCCATGTAAAGCTGTAGAAGAGAGACCAAAACGGAAGAGTAAGAAAAACTAACTTGAGAGAAAGCCAAATCCAAAACGAATGAGGAAAAGAACCAAAATTTCAGAGAAAAGAGAGACCCTAAAACTGAAAGAGCCATAAAGGGCCAAATATTAGAGAGAGATTATCAGCCATGGCCGACTGCAAATCGAAGTTCTTTATTTTCTTCTGTAAAAGTTCACCTTTGGAGGCGATTCGGTTGGTGATGAAGGGAATTGGGTTTCCAAGAAAGAGACGGTCTTGATGGAGCCGATTCTTTGTCAGCCCTCACAACTCGTCTGTCTACCCGAATGGTGGTCTTCTTCGAGAGGCCATCTTTATCTGCAACACCTTCTTTTGTCTGAATCTTAATGCATCTCATTCTCTTCCTGTTACCCCACTGTAACAGGAAATCAGTCTCCGGAGGCCTACAAGCTCTGTGATTCTTGTTTTCCTTCTCCATCCCTGCAAAACCCAGTTTCTCTCTCATCAGAGACACAAATTAAGAGTGAGAAGACAGAGAAGAGAGAGAAAATTCCAAAGATTGTTGGTCTCTCAGACCTTGCATCAAGATCTGAAACTCTGCAGCACCCAAATCCTCGAATGGTGGAGAAATTCGGACAAAATGTACTGATATTATCCTGAAATTGCACAATACCATTCTCACTCAATCTTGGGGTGAAAATTAGCAGTTTTAGAGAGAGAAACAAACCAGAGGAGAGAGGAGAGAGCCTCACAGGAATCAAAATACGCCTCCACAATGCGATGATTTGCAGTTGGTAGAGAGAGATTGAGACTAATTGACACCCCAAAATTGCCTCCGATTCTTCTTAACTTTAGAGAGAGAAAGAGAGAGACGGAGAGAGAGAAGCTTTCCCTTCACCTGTGCATCTGCATCTTTCCTCACCCTTTTGAAACTTAAAGCCCCTCCTCTCTCTCTCTCTCTCTCTCTCTCCTTTTTTCCCCTAAATTTTTTTATTTTTTATCGCTTCATTTTTCTCCCTCCATTCACCCAGCACCCCCATTTATCACTAGCAAGCACGAAACAGCTGCCACTGTCCGATCCATGATCGACGGCCATGATTCTTTCTACGTAAGGCTCGACGAGGCGCCTTCTGCCCATTTTACGTGCCCCGCAGTGACCGCTTTGAGGGCGCTTATATGATGGGATTTCTTTGAGACAGCCGACCCATACTGTATATATAAAAATTTAGAAAAATGGTTTGATATGGCTGCAGTTTTATTAAAATATATAAAACCTCACCACATAGCTCACTGAAAATTGCAACTCAAGTATTGAAAAACCCATCATCTAGACTTAAAACATTATGTTTATGAAAAAAAATTGGATTTAAAGCTCTAGAAATAATGTAATATTGCAAAAAATTATATAAGCCATCTATTTTGCCTTAAAAATAAGTGTTCAAATTTTATTGTCAGTATTAAAAATTGATTTTAGAGCTATGATAGTCGAAAGTGCATTTTGGATAAGGATTTGAGGTGAGGTTTTATTTTATTTTCATAAAATCTAGGCCTCATACACACCTCACAAATATAAATTTATCTTAAAAATAAAATTTTAAGAGATCAAAGTAAATATTATTATAAATATATAAAAAATAAAGCGTTTTATATTTAAAATATAACTTTTTAAAAAAATTATACCTATTTTAGACGTGCGAGTTTTTTTACAACGTCCATGAGAGGGCCGTTGGTGAGTCAGCGGGCTCTTGCACCCGCTGATTCACGGCAACTTTGCCTATATTATATATTCTCCTTTCTCTCTCTCCTCGTGCGCTCTCGATTTCCCATCAGGTTCTCTCTCCTACACACCTCTATAACCTGGAAGCTAACGCCGTTTGTGGCTCGCCCAAACGGCGTCTTATCCACTGCGGGGATTGCCGACGGACACGTTATCCTTCCGTTAGCGGTTGCAATGACTCTCTCTCCCTCTTTGGCCCTCTCTGGAAAGTTACAAATACATTTGAATACAATGTTTGTAAGTTCCGTGTACTCTCTCTCTCTCTCTCTCTAGCAGACGAATAAATGTTCTCTCTCAAACCCTATGATACATCTGTTAATGTAGAAATATTGGGAAGGGTTATCACCTCTGAATGATTAGGTTGGACGGTGGGGAAGGAGAGCCGGTCCCTCCAAATAATTCACCTATTTGATTTTCATGTCTTTTAGATTTAGTTGAGTCGGGTCGAATCAGAAGCCCTTCGTTGCACCGGAAGAGGATGATCATTTCTATAGATTGCCAAGAATCACCTGTTTCTGTTGGCTTTTTATTTGAAAAAAGTTTATATAAGCTTGATACCTTAAATTATAAGCATAAGTTGCACATCAAAAAACCATTGAAAAATGCTATTTTAATGTTGAAATACCATCTAATTGATCATCTCAACATCGTGATGTATGGATATTAAAAAAAAAATCTAGTCCCAAAAAAAATACATCTTCCAATACATTATCTAGACCGTTCATTTTGAAGATTTTCATGCATTTATAGATCTGATTGATTTGAATCATTTTGAAGATTTTCATGCATTTATAGATCTGATTGATTTGAATCATTTTTGAAATGCCAAATTTTATAATTATTTATTAAAATAGATTCTCGAGGCCATCCTAAAAATTTCAACACTAAAATTGGATCTCATGATAAAGTTTGGAAGTGCGTATTACTTTGATTGTTTAAGGTTGCAACTTTACGCAAACCTCACCCTTTTAATTCTATCCAAATATCGATTAGGATCACATTTTTAGATTGACAAATACGCGATTAGTGGTTCGTCTTTTGAACCCTGAACTCATGAATCACTACATTCTCACTAAAAAACTAAGATCATTATAAAGAGATTTTACATTATGAGGCCATTTATCTTAGTTACAAGGTCACAATGCTCCTGCCATTAGATGTCAAATTAAACAGTTTGGGTGTCACAAAGTTTGAAAAACTATTTTTTGAACTCAAGTTTAATCATACACCGGTACAGCCACCCAATTCAAAATTAGACTTAGAGTCCTTGTGACCTAAGTAAATTGTCCCTTTAAATACTTGCTATTCTCCTTTAATGCCTCTTTTTCCCTCCTCAGATGACTCCCAAAAGTCATTGTCCTTGATTTCTTAGTTTTAATGGAAATTATTTGTGCAGGATAAACCAAGTTGCTGGGGAAGTGGTCCCTCTTTTAGACCCTTACCCCATTAGCCTTAGCCCCTCTCATCCTTAATATAAGGTTTCCATGCCTATTCTTTGTCTGATTCTAAATAAAAGATGAGGACATTAGTGAGAGAGAAATCTTACAAACTTCTCCAAAATCCCCATCTTTTCAAATATCTTCTCTTTATCCAAATAGAGAAAGCTATTTCATTGCCATTCTATTACCATGTGAGTGGCTCAAATGGCTTGATGAGGTGTTTGGCACTCCAATTATTCAAATATATTATTTAAGGACACAAATGCCATTGGGATGTGATGGCATTACGAGAGATGGATCAATTTGTCGTAATCTTATTTTGGTACAAAGAGGATGCAATAACAGTCGTTGATTGGGTAGTTGGGGATGTGTTCTTGCCCAAGCTCAAAGCCCAATGGATAAAGTTTTTAAAATTTCTGATACATCTCTAATTGTTCAATTTTTAATCTGACTAGAGGGGATTGTGAGTTGTCACATGTTTGTGCTGAAAGTAAATGGTCAAATAATGTACAGCTCTTTTCCTTAAATAAAATAAAATAAATAAATAAATAAGACAAAAAAAAAGTGAGGATAGAAATCCTCCATCTCTAATTACAGGAGAAAGTTTATATAAGCTTGCAACCTTAAGATGTAGAATTAAAGATGCACCTCAAAAATCCATCGGAAAAGGTTGTTTTAATATTGAATTGATCATCTCAACATCAAAATGTATGAATAAAAACAAAGATTTTGAGACCTAAAAATAGTGTATCTTGCAGCACATTATCTATACCATTCATTTTCAAGATTTTCATATGTTTATAGATCTACGTTATTTTAATTATTTTTAAATTTACAAATTTAAAATTAGATATGAAATAGAATTGAGATAATCTTAAGATTTTTTATAACAAAATTACATGTTATGATAAAATTTGGAGGTGCGCCTTAATTGGAATGTTTAAGGTTGCAACCTCTTATAGAAACCACACCCCTAATTATACGCTCATTTACCTCAATGGTCAGGAGTCATAGCGCTCCTATTTCACAAGCGTAATCAGGATTGAAGTTCATGCTTATATTGCACCAAGCACACAAAGCAACAAATACATACGAGATACAAGAGGGTCAACGGTTGTTGCCCAATTTTATTTCTCTATACCCTTAAACTTACAAGTGTACTGCCACAATGCCCACATAGGGTCTAAACATAAAGTTTACTAGTGTATTTCACTCAGAGTTGGGGCCGAATCAGATAGAGTGCACAAGCACCATTTTCCTTAATCTTGAAAGGATTCTTGAACCGGAAATTTTAGAGCTTGTACTTGAAGTGGGGTTTCGAGACCTAGGGTTTTTGTCATGAGCTCACAGGTTTTTTTTTTGTTTACTTGAAGAGTTAAGAACCCTTTCCTTATATGCAATATATTGAATCAATTGTTATTACTTGTGTGATCTTTTGTGATCAACCAACGGTTCCCTCGCTCTTTAGATTTGGAAATCTTCGGTTTTGGGGCATGTCTTTCTAAACTAGGTCTGAGCTCTTGAAAACAGGCCGCTAATGGGCCTAATTAGGGTTAGTTTAGGTTCTTGGGATTGGGTTTAGGCCTATTTAGGGAAGTTTTAGGATGCTTTTCAGGTTTAATTAGGCAAGGTCCGGCCCTATACAATTAGGCAGATTCTAGGGTTTCCTAGTGGTGGATTCCTCTGGCATTCTTATGATGTTCCTTAGGGTGTATTGATTATGGTTTGTGGGGTACTAGGGATCACTAAACTAGTATGGTTGAGGGCTGTGGGTTCTTGAGAATTCCCTTATGATCTTGTAATACAACATCATCATTTGCAGGTGGTTGGTCTTACTCTGTTTTCAAAAATGTTTTGAGGGATAGTTTGAAAAATGGGGACAATTTTGAAATAGAGACTGGTGCTAGGTTTTAAAAAGGCGATTAAAGCGTTCGAAAACCATTATCCTACACTTGAAATCATGTTGGGATTGAGCCTAGATGAAGGTTTGAAACTTGAACTTGAAAACTTAAAAATAAATTTGAGCTTGAAATGTGGAAAAACTTGAACTTGAAGTTACTTCAAGGACAAGACTTTAGAAAATTTGAAAACTGAACTTGAACTTGAAAATTTGAAAGACTTAAAACTTGAAATGGTTAGCAGTTTAAACTCATGCAACCATGGAGCCTTCACCTAGGCAGTTTTGTGGTGCACCGAAAGATATTCTTGCACTTGAAAATGGTTTGGAGCTTCAACTCGTGTAACTATGGAGCCTTCTGTTTTTCTCCTGCAATAATGGAAATACATGAAAGTGATCAACAGTTTAAGCTCATGTGACCATGTAGTCTTCACCTATGCAGTTTTATGTCAATGGATGTCTTGAACTTGAAATAAGTAGTTTTATTTAATGTGGCAATGGATGACTTGAAACTTGAAGGTAGCAATTTAGGATCACGTAACCATTGGCCATAATTGAACTTGAATTTTTTTTTAGAAAACAGCTTTTGGAAAGTTAAGTTCAAGAACAAATTTTTTTAAAACCTTGAAAAGGGGGAAGGATCACACAGTTTCATCATTTATGCCTTTTGGTGGACTTGAATTTCTTTATATTTTATATTTATTTTTAGCTTATTTGGAGAACTGTTATTTACCCAAAATCTTATCAGGAAGCTAAATTTTAAAAAATGAGTTGCCCTTTATGTCTTGTTTAAGAATCAATTAAAATTAAGCTTTTAAATACTCTCACCCCTGGATGGGTCTTATAGATTTACCAATTTTGACCTCTTGGTGGAATCAAAACTTGAATTTTGCATGAGT